CTAAGTGGTTCTGAACGTTTCTGACATCATATTCATGTTCGCCAGAGTGAGTTCTATCTGACCATGTCTTCAGAATATGAAAACGTAGGGTGGCAGATATCGCTACTTATCCGGCGGTGTCCTTTAATAAAACATAATTCGAAAGTTTTTCATTGGAAGCTTTCTCCTGAGCATTAGAGAGCATCGACAAACAATATATTATCATGATAGTAAACTTATAAACTAAACTCGTTGACCATACTTTCAAGAATCAACGTATACACTATCTGTGTAACTTGTAATAGAAAATCGCTTTTCAAAACATGAAACAGTTACATATTGTTTTCTTAACATCTATTTGGGATTGTATTGCTAGCAATATTATAAAAACGAATGTGATTTCTCTTGATCAAAACATGAAATGGAAATAAACAAGTGATGCTTCTATGCAAAAATAGTGCGATGCGCAATAACAACGCAATTTCTAGTATCGCTGTCGAATGGAGTCAGCAATGGATTTTCTAGTGATCAGTTGTTTGAAAAATGAATTTCTACCTCTATACTATAGAGGTAGAAATTCATTCTCCAAAGAACTGGACAGCAACTCAAATGATTTGAGTCTGCTGTCCATCTTTTTAACCCGTTTGTGGTAATGGGATTGTATTCCTTTGTAAGTTGCACTCATCAGTTCGAGTAGTGTAGAAGTTGAAGTGAATCTTCAATCTTTGAAATGACACAATCTCTGGATATACGAAAGATGCGCACGAGAAAGCTGCGCACAGCGAATATTACGCACGGATAGGTTGTGCACGAAATAAAAAATTCTTATTTATGCTTCGAAAGATGATTAATAAACAAACGAACAGAAAACAGAATAGTCTTTGGTAAAAAAAGCTGATATTCCTTACAAGATCTTAAGAACACCAGCTTTTAAGTGAAAATCTTACATAGCAATCTACCGATTTTTTTTCATAAACAGATAGTCTAAAGTGTTCTCTACAAAATAAGATTCAAACAAAAGTTTCATTTTGTTTGGTTTGAGAGTTTTTCAGATTTTTTTCGAAGCTCTGGGACTTTTCTAATCTTTAGTCTGGTACTTCCAGAAATACATGAAAACATAGATTATCGACCACGTTGAATCTCGTAGCAATTTTTAGAACAAAGTGCAAGAACCGAGTAAAATCGTGTACTAGGTGAAATAATCCATTTTTGGCTAGTTTTGTCGAAAACTAAAAAATTCAGAATTCAGCTAAACTCCATCCAAGCTACTTCAGAATAACAAGATATACTCTATTTTGTCTGCATTGTACCGTAATGCTCAATAAATGTTTTAAAAACAAACAGTAAATGCTTTGGTCTTGGAAAAATTTCTGAGAAATCTTCGAAACTAAGAGAACATTTATTATTTATCTTAAGCACAGAATCAGATTGAGTGGATAAAATAGAGTATATCTTGATATTCTGAAGTAGCCTGGATTATTATTAATTTCAATTATTAATCATCTTTTCAAGCATAAATAAGAACTTTTTATTTTGTGCGCAACCTACCCGTGCGTAACATTCTCTGTGCGCAACTTTCTCGTGCACATCGTTCTGTGCGCATCTTTCGGGATCCCACAATCTCTAGCTTCAACTTTTCACGTTTTCGGTCAACTTCTGGTCATAAGTTTCAAAGTGTCAGAAGTTCCGAAGGCCACAAAACGCTTACTTCCTCGATTCGCGTCGCCTCCGATACCACTATTCCAAAAGTTACGAATAGAGATTGTACCATTTCAAAAGTTGACGAGAATTGTGAACTTTTGAAAAGTTGAAATAACTCGTCGAACTTTACATGCATAGTTTTTCTGAATCGGCCATTTGAGAGGACACAAAACTGTGTATGTTCCATAAGCTTTACTTTCTCAAAATAATATTTGACAGTGCTATGATTTATGGAAAATATCCTACTATATCATTTTTCCATCAATCAGAATAGCCACTCTTTCGAGAAATTTTCCTACACTGTTGATTTTTATTTTGAAAAACTAAAGTTTATGGAATATAGACAGTTTTGTGTTCTCCACAAAAGGGCTGATTATCGGGATTAGATCCATGGTTTTCTAAGGATCCAGTTTTCATCAAGCCGATCAACTAAAGCCTAATGGCAACTCCGATGTTCATATTCGGAAGCAGCGCCATCAGTTACATACAGTTCACCTAGTTTCATGGAAAAACCGATTTGTAACTTGGGATACTTCCCTCGTTAGTTGTGACTAGAAAAGTGTGTAATTTTTTTAGGTGCATTAGTAATAATGCCAAATTCTAATAGTTTTGTGGTTGCTTAGGAAGTCTCGGATATAAGACTTAGCTAGTAACTATTAGTAGAATATTAAATCTTTTACAGCTTGTATTTAGTGTTTAGGAAGCTTCTCTCGAGTAGAAGCATTTAGCCAACTCACAACTTTCTGCTATTTTTTCTCCGCTTTACTGGTGGACACGTGTATTCTAGTAGATTTTTAGATGTCTTTTAATCGGAAGTGCTTAGAAATATCAGTTTTCTTCTAACACATTCTAAACAACTGTTAGAAAAGGTCTTTTATAAAACAACTCACAAAAGCTTTTTGATAAATGACTTTTGATGTCAGCTTCAATCACGATTTGCTTTTCCAATAGCAGAAGAGAAAAATTAACATCAGAAGCGTCATCAGCATGTTAAGAAATCTATAGTTCTCAGCATAAATAAGAGGAATAAATGGAGAAAAACAGCTCAAAGTTTGAACACAAGGACTGCCATATTCACATTTATCACGATTACCAGAGAGAGCTGTTAGACTATCAGTCTACATGTGGTGTGTCAGTGTATTCACTAGCAAGTGTGCTCGGCACACATTCCCAGGTGTGTTGAACCTTTAGCCAGTACATTCTAGACGAACAAACAGACGTTCACTTTTGTGTGCTTGAATGTGTGACGCTATAATTTCCGCTGCAGCGAATGGAGTCAGCAGGTTGACAGGCAAGAATGTAGCTGACGTGTCACATTGGCTGCAATATGTGGCATCGCATGTTCAGACGTAGCTGGTGGTAAAGCCGTGATCGAAGAAATTGTGAAAGTGTACGGAATTGAAATGCAAATAACTTCGTGGAATGCAAAAAAAAATTGGATTCAGGTGTCAATACTGTTTTCGATGGAGACAGGACGGTGGCGAGACGTTTCCATTTGATAGTGAAAGTAAGAAAGTGCTGCAAATGAGTCTGACTCGAAGTTCTTCTACCTAAACCTAAGCAACGTCCTAAAACAAAAACTAAAGAATCACTGACTTTGCCGCGTCAGTAAGATTTTGACGTTGCTTCGCTAGACAATACATTCATAAATTAACATCATCTTCAATTCATGCAGATCTAATATAGTTTAGATTCTAGTAACAGATTCTACAGAAAAAGTGTTATAAATAATGCAGAAACAGAATCTCGCAAGAGTATTAAAATGGATGACAGACATGCGACTACAATTGTTCTAATTGGGCTTGTTTGATGCAATAGGTTCCTTATGATTTTTACAAATAGTTTTAAAAAATGTATAAAAGAAATAGTTTGGCTGGTTATTTTAATGTCGAAACAAATATATGCAGAACATTGTTAGTTGCATTAGTAAATTTTGTATTCTTGTTGTTATTGCTTTATTTGTTGTTTCTTTGCAAATTGTGTCAATTGAACGAATAGTTAAACGAGTTTTAATTGGTACAGATATTCGATCGTTAACTAAAGGAAGAGATAAAGTTTATTAGCGTTCAAGAAATAAAAGTTAGTAGAAGTGAATGAAGTTGTTTGTTATTGGTAAAGTTAAATCAATTTCTCCTACTAAAAAACTTTCCTAAAGACAACTCATGGTATTATCTGATATTTATCTGGATAACAGAGATCAAGGCGCTGTAATACGATGCATTTTCTTCCCTGCGTCATGGTTGTGAAAAGCAGACTCCTTTTAAGTTTGGTGGAATACGCAATATGGGTTTTAAAACTGAAATGAATCTTATTCCTATTATTTTATGGCCTCGTCAGAATCTGTTAACAGTCATAAACTCGATAAGAACTATAAGATGATAAGTGTATGGTTTCAATATTTCTTTAATGAGGTTTGATGGGTGAAAATGGATTGATTAGAAGCATTTCATGTTAGAAAAAGTTTTCCGTTGAATATGTTTTCTCTTATACGTTGTTTTTGACCGCTCAAGTGGTATGAAATTTTTGAAAAAAGACTTTGTTCAATTCCTAGCCGTTACCCAGGATAGCGGCGAACTCCTGCATGTTTGTTTTCCTTATACTATTGAAAAAACGCATTGATATGTTTCATATACAGAATACAGACAGCAACATGACATAAATATGTTTGACAATAACATCATATGGCTCCGCCACTACACACAAAAAAAGTGTCGCGTTTCCTGCAAAATACAGTGACACCTTTTTCCGCAGATACTGCAACAGAAATGCGGCTGAACTGTTAGTCTACTGCATGATTGTATCTGATAAAGTTCTGTCCTTATAATGCGTTGCTACTATCCCGTTGTTCGCTCAAATTTAAGCGGAAACTGGCTCCACTTAGAATCACAGAATATATGGATAGTTTCTCGAAATTCTGGAAAACTATGTACATCAGTAGAGAGGTGCAGATTTTTTAAAAATGTTTTTGATTATAGGCCAGTTACAGTAAATTTCGGCCGCTTCTGATAATGTTAAGATGAGGAAACTGGATGAATTGTACAGTAAGCAGAGATGGCAAGTGATTAAATTTTTTTTTCTATTTTGGGCGACGTCTAGGAGCTCCACAGAGTCTTTTTTCAAAGATTTTTAAACGATTATCATACCACTTGAGCGGTATGTTTTCTGTGAAAAGTAAAAGTATTTGACTAAGCACGAGTTTCACTGCACAGAACACGTATGGTTCTACTCAAATTTATAGCTTTAATCTGAAAAAGGTAGTTCACGGCTTGTCCACGTAACTCCGCTGGCAGACATGTCATAGCGTTACCTTTTTTGCTCATTTTTTTTGAGCATAGCTCCGTTACAAAACGTTCTAGAGAGCTCGGGAACATCTCAAATTGAAGAAAAAATTGTTTTAAAGATTTTGAGATGCATCCGCCACCTGAAAAATGTTTTCTTAAGAATCTACATGCAAAATGGTGAGACCTACTTTTTACGGAAAAAAACAGAAATGTAGCTCTCAAAGTAACGCTATGACATCTCTACCAGCGGAGTTACGTGGACAAGCCGTTCACTAGGGGTCAGGCCATCTCTAAGTTCAGAGAAAGTGAAAATAGAACATTTTAAAAATTCAATTTTTATGTCCGAAAGCACTTGTTATATAAATCGACATAGTCAGCTGTATACTACACTACTTAGATTTTCTGGCACTAACTTGAGTTTTGGAGCATATTCATAGACAGATTAACTGAAGCGGTCGGAACCACCTCAGAAATGACGAAAAACGAACATCGCAAAATATAATCTTGTAGTATCTCAAATGAAACCTCAAGACTCGGAGAGTCCAAATATACATGTGTCGATGCCACTCGGCACATGTGCGAGCATATGTCACGGAAAAGTGCTTGTTTAAGTAGGAAAAAAAGATAAAAGGATAGGTAGTTTGCATTACATAAGTTTTTTGATGTATTGTATCTCTATATCTAATAGTTTCTAACATATTGATGTGTACACTTCTATCTAAAACTAGTTCGTTTTTCGTCATTTCGGAGGTGGTTCCGACCGCTCCAGTTAATCTGTCTATGAATATGCTCCAAAACGCAAGTTAGTGCCAGATAATCCAGGTAGTGTAGCATACAGCTGACTATGTCGATTTATATAACAAGTGCCTTCGACATAAAAATTCAATTTTTAAAATGCTCTATTTTCACTTTCTCTGAACTTAGAGATGGCCTGAGCCCTAGCGAACTACCTTTTTCAGATTAAAGCTATAAATTTGAGTAGAACCATACGTGTTCTGTGCAGTGAAACTCGTGCTTAGTCAAATACTTTTACTTTTCACAGAAAAATTTAGCCAAAAAGTACGACCATTATTAATAGTTTCCAATTTTGCAGATACGATTTCGCACATGTGCGAAGGTCGAATCCACACATGTTTTTGGGTACAGGTAGTATATAACCTATACTACTTATGCTGCAAGTATGAACTCTGGCTCTGCTGCGTAGACCGAAATATGACGCCTATAAAATGCAGTTTTCTACGCATGCTGTTTTTAGGACTTTTACGAAAAATGCTGTGAGTCCAAAAGAAAGCATTATCTGATCAAAAAATTTTGGGAATCTTCCTAAATGTGTTGCCCCTACCATCCACAGGAATATGAGCCAAAAGTTCGAACATCGATTGAGCAGGTTAGGTCGTGCCTGCCGTGCAACGGTTCTTAAGTAATGGGATTCTTCCTTGCATGCTCCCTTAAAAATGCGTGATTCTGGCAATTAATCCTTATTAACAGATGTACATTTTCCAGCATCATTGACAGATCTAGTTTTTCGTTCGTGGTCTATATATCTCACCGTTTTGAATTCTAAGTGCACAATTATAACTACCTTTTAATTTTCCTTGCTGCCCACCATAGTCGTAACTTAATTCAATATTTTGATTATTCATTTCGATAACACTTAATTCATATTGTTTTGAATCCATTTTAACATCGAATGTTGAACCAAGATATTTTAAACCATAAAACGTAAATGTGTTTGTTCCAGGTGGTAGTGTTGGAAAAAATTCTAGTTGTTCGAATCTTAAGCGAATGCCACCATAACCAAAGAGAACTGACTGTAGAAAACCACCAGCACCCGTAATAAAATTAACAGCACCAACACCTGAACGTGCTTCTGTCCATACCTGACAGGTCACACATACATTTTCAAAAAAAACTTCTAACTTTAGAATAAATATATAAAAGACTTACATTGAATGGCGGTCTAACATAGGTTTGATAACTACGTCGAAACAAGTGTTCTGCTTTAGCTATGTCATTAAGTTCAAGAAATCCGACTGCATGCATACTCCATGTCATAGCTGGACCATCGTCTCTTGTTATGTTTTCGTACATTAATAAATTGTTACGTCTTACAGTTTCATTCATCGGCCACATTAACGGAAAGTCCAATAATACAACATCGGCTTGTTTTATTTTTGCAGTTTCTAAAATGAGCAACGAACTTTTAAATAAGCATTATCATACAAGAAGTCAAATTATTACACACGTATATTAAAATGTTCATATTCTAAATATATTTGTAACTGTGAGTCAAATGGAAAATATAAATTGTTAGCAACATCTAACCATTGAGATGGCACAATTTTGTTTGTTATACAACTATGAAAAAGACAAACACATGTAAAAGTCAATATAAAACAACAAAGTTTGTTCTCATGTTTACCTCACACGATTAGCCAAATCAATTGATAATGATGCAATTGCATTTGTATACACGGAATTATTCTTAAACGGTTGTGCATCCTCATCTGGAGGTAGAACAGCTGCAAGGAAAAATTATCATATTCAAGTTTTTGCTAAGATGATGTGAATAAGGAATACCCAGGGGCGAAAATGACGGGAGGGTGTGGGAGGCTGCACTCCCCCCGCCTCGGGAATATCTGAAGATCTAGCCCACTCCTTTTGTAAAAACTCCATTTAACCTTATACTCGAATAGGTCAACTACAACTTGTTCTTTTTGCGCCCTAATTCAGTGACATAACGGTAACAAACGGTGTCTCAAAAGTTTTATTGAAAGTGCACCATCATTAGGTCAATCTGGCCTAAACGTGTCATTCAGATCTTGCAGTGATTGTGATGTGCTTTTGACAGAAGATTATCTTGAGTGAAGTTAAGAGATGACACAATCTTACAATAGAGATAATATCGCTGATGACTGAAATATAATGCTCAGCTTCCATTATTTTATGTCGTCAGCTTTGTATGAGAAAAGAAGAAAAGGCCTTGTACCAAAGGCATGAATCTTCCTGAGAAAGTTTTGATTTGGTCCAAGAAATGAACCAGTGGTATGAATCTGTGCGATACTCACTTACACATTGTGGGAGAATTTATGATTATACGTGTTTGAAAATGAATTTAAAATATATACGTATAGGTGAAAACGTGTTTACTTTAGAATGAAAAGTGCTGTGAATTGCATACTTAGTATTTCGTATTTTTGTCTATTATTATTATAAACTGCTCTCGATGCCCAAAATTTGGCTGTTTCATGAATGAGTTGTCCACCCATCTGTTCATCTGATGTTAGCCAATCCATATCTCGTGTTGCTGAGACGTATTGCCGAGCAGCGAATGCAATATCACCAGTTATGTGCATTTGATATAGTCTTACTTCAGGACAACATTCTGGAGTGACGTCAACACCTGTTCTTGCACTTTCCCATGGAAACCTAGACTAAGAAGTAACTTACTCCGGAGCAGATAAAATGATGACAACGCGTACTAACCTCCATCCAGTATAATTAAATATTATTGCATTATCGATAGCTGAATCTTTTAATGCAATACGATAGGATAATATATCTTTTGCCAAACTATAAAATTATAAATAAAAACAGAATATTTAAGTATGTGAGTGCCGTATGTTTGTACATACGTTGGATAAAACATGAGTATTGCTGGATACATCCACGTTTCAGTATCCCAAAATGAGTGACCTATATAAAATCTATTTTATTTGCACATATTCAGTTTATTTTCTTTCCTCACTTTTTTACCTCCATAGTCTTCTCCCAATTTTCCGCCTCTACTCAAACTTCCAGGACTCAAACCGTAAAACTGTTTTTTATCAGATTTTGTATGTAGAGCAGGTAATGAACTTAACAGATAATAATAGGCACTATTAATTTGTCGTTGTAAATCTTCATCGCCTTCTATATCGATACGACCATTCGACCATATTTGATTCCATAATTGAACTTGTGTTTCATAAAAATAATCGAAACGATTTTCGTTAATTAACGTTGTTGCTAAATGTATGTATTAATAACTCCACATATATAAATTATACTCATGATAAACAAAAATCATTACCGTAATCAAAACTCTTTTTTGCAGTTTGATTGCTAGTGTCCATTGATGTAACAAACACAAATGTTTTTGTTGTTTCATTTTCATTTAATTCTAAACCGTCCACAGGCAATGGTGTATAATAAATATAAACTTTTAATTTCTCAGATTCAAATTGATTGTTTTCAACTTGCTTCGTTGTACCATCAAAAAATCTAAGTAAAACAGTCGAATACAAATAAAATTATGTAGAGTACAAAATAGAATAGTGCTAATTGTTTTCTAAACAACTCTATAATGAAAGAAGTTGAATTTTCACTATATGATAGATAAAATCTAAGGCTATTCGTTAGTATTTCTGAAAATCACATTCGCAGATATTGTGTCCAACAGAGTAAATGAGCAACTCGATTCTCAATCCTTCAAAATTATAAAATTTCAAAGATTTCTAAACATTTTCGAGTTTAAGCATTTTTTTCCACTTTATAAGTGAGCAGATTCATAGAAAAGTTCATCAAGTATGTAATTTGACATTTTGAACATTTAAGAATAAGATTTAAACGAATTATGAAACTTTCATATTATATAATATATATTCAATAATATAATTCTTGAAAATTTCGAAAACAAGCTTCCCTTAATATGAACATCAAAACAGACATCATCATAATAGTTGACGTGATCGAAAAAATAGATTTTCAATTCAAGAGAGCCAATAACTATGAACTTTCGTAGAATTGCTCGTTTACTCTATCAGATACAAAATCTGCGAATGGAGTTTTCAAAAGTACTGGTGCATAGCTTTAGAAATTTTTCTACAATATAGTAAAAACTCAATTGTCCTGTTTGAAGATTGTACAATACCAATCGTCGTCATTCTCTGTTGAAACCGATAGTTATTCTCGTCTTACGTATAATCTTTCGTATTTGCCACATTAAAAATGAAATCATCGCTTTCTTTTTCTTCATGAATCACAACAGGAATATTTATACTTCCTAACGAAAAATAACTAATTCAGTCACATATTTAAGTATTTCGATAAAATGAGAATTACTCATTACCAAGTAGAGTGGATTGTACTCGTTTAACAGTGATATGGGATATAATTAATTCCGTGTATTCTTGATAAGCAAATATTTTTCGTTCAACAATTACTTGACTATCTTCAAGATATTCGATAAATACACCTAAAATTAACTAAGTAATCTCATTATTTTGTTGATAACTCGAATGCAATCGAGTTACGCTTAAATAGCTGAGCCGATTGCGAGATGATTCTAAGCATTTCTGCTTCTACAAACTAGCTAAGTTCTTCCCACATTCAACATTTCACAAGAACCCAGTCAAAAAAATATCAAGAGGATGGAACACTCTTTTTGTCCAACTCAAAGGGAGTACTTGAAAAGCTGCAGCGGAGTACTCACAAAAAATGAGTACTCCTGAGTGCTGCTTTTGTTGAAGTGCTTCGCAGTACCTCAACTGCACTTTATAAAACGGAATGCTCCGAAGCACTCCAAAAAAGAAGTACTCATGCGTACTTCGAATAAGACTTATAGAATTATCGCTTATTAGGCGATCAAAAAAAGCAGCACTCAGGAGTACTCATTTTTTGTGGGTACTCCGTTGCAGCTTTTGGAGTACTCCCTTTGAGTTGGAGCACTGTTTTTCCCAAAAGAGTGCTCCATGATACTCCTCCTCTTGATATTTCTTTTGACCTATACATCTGAGCAATTATTTCATGAATAAAAATGCAGTTTCGGAAAATACCATAGAACTCTGCCACATCAAACGAATCTGGTCTCTTAACATTATGTCAATTAACTTTTCAATGGAACACACGAAGTCTTTCGTAATGTGAATGTGCCCTTATTTTCCAAGTTACAGCGAATAAAAT